AGCAAAGTGTCTTCACATCCAGCAGTAGCCCCAAGGCTGCAAGCAGTGAAAGCAAGCTATAGCATATATGTCTGTCTGTGTGTGCATCCCAGTGTGTGTGTGTCTTTTATTCTTAATAGCACTACCTGTATTCCATATGTTGTTATATACAATGCTTTAAAGAAAAGCAAAACAAAATGTTATTCCAGAAACCATTCTTTTCCAAGGACAAAATCCAGATCTCTTCTTGGCTCTGTGAGCTGATGCAGAAGGGCCAAAAACAGGATTATAAATTATAGATATTGTAGATATTATAGATATTATATATTATAGGATATAGATATTATATAATATTGTAGATATTATAGGTATTATATAATATATATCATATTATATGTATTATATATATATATATAAAATAGACATAGGATGATGAACCCTCTATTATGAGGCCAGTTTAATTGTATTACCGTATGTACATCTTAAACCTCTGGTGCCTCAGGACTGGATTATGGCAATACGACCTGTTTAGAGTTACTGGTTCAGTCCAAAAGATTTAAAAACTGATGCTGAATGCAACAGCTCTCTTTTGGCAGCACAGTGCTGTTTGTGACCTGATTCACATCAGCTGTGTGGTGTTGTCCAGAAAAAAAAATCAAGATAAACCATCCCAAAATAATTTAGACTTTCCCATTTTGAAAGCTGATGTGCTTCATGCTCCCAAGATTTACTATTAGAAAAACTCTTATGCCCGGATTAGAGGCTCTCATAGATGATGTAGAGGGGCTCTTGGAAGGGGAGTTTTAAAGTGTTTTGTCCTCTGGAAAAAAATTCTATCTGGTACAATCTTTCGGGCTGCTCACTTTCAGCAATAAGCAATTCAAGACAGATAAATTTGCACAAGTTGATTTGGACATGGTTTTTAAAGGAGAGTCAGTTTTGCAGGTGAAAGAGTGCACCCTTCAAGGCTTTTGCTTGGTTGGGAGGAATTCTTTGAGGCAAATGTCCATAAACAAGCCCTGGTTTTGTTTCCATGTTTCATAGTAACATTATTCAGTTCTAGATTGATTAGAAAATCATTAAAAGTCAAATATTAAACAGTAGGAAAAATGGCAAAAGCTGCTGAAAGCGTGGGTTGGTTGGTAAGTATTGCAGAGTTCTCAGGGGGAACAGCATTTCCTCAAGGTTTCAGAGCCAAGTGGCCAAGAGAAGAGCACAGCTCACAGGTAGGTCTAGCTGCAGGTGTCACCCAGCACCTGGTACAGACCTTGGTGGGATCCAGGCAGGGAAGTGGCATTGACTTCCTCCTCCTGCTTTTCCCACAGTGCCCAAATCCATGCTCCAGGGTCATTCAGAGCAGCAACCTGGCTGCCAAGCAAGAAAGCTGGCCCACAGTCAGATCCCATGGCATAACACAGTTCAAGAGGTGCCACAGGGGATACCTTGGGCAACTCTGAGTCCACCAAAATAACTTTTGTCTGTGGTTTGTTTGTTTTCTTTCTCCCTCCTACTCTAGGTGTGTACACATTTCTTTCCAGCACCTTGAAATCTCTGGAAGAGAAAGACTATATTCACCGTGTCCTGGACAAAATCATAGACACTCTGATACACTTAATGGCCAAGTCAGGTCTTTCTCTGCAGCAGCAACACAGACGACTGGCTCAGCTCCTCCTCATCCTCTCTCACATCAGACACATGAGGTGAGAGCAAGCACACAGTCAGCACTTTGGTGCTGGGCCCATGCAAGAGAGGTGTCACAAATGCACTCTTTTCCTTTGTGGGTGGCAGTGCAAGCTCTGTGAAGGGCAGCTACAAAAAAAAAAAAAAAAATCCATATGAAAATATTTACCCCATTTGTCCCTTCTAGTTGTCTTTTCTTCTGCCTTTTGTCATAATAGTGCTGATAGTTTGATAGAAAGCAGTATCTGCTTTTAATTTTATGTGTCATAGAATAATAGAATGGCCTGGTTTGGAAGGAAACTTAAAGATCCTCTAGTTCCAACTCTCCAGATACAGGCAGGGATGCTTTCCACTTAGACCAGGTTGCTCAGAACCCTGTCCAAGCTGGCCTTGAATACTTCTAGGGATGGGGCACCCACAATTTCTCTGGACAACCTGCTCCAGAGCCTCACAACCCTCAGTACAGGATTTCTTCTGAGTACCTAATCTAAACCTGCTCTCTTTCAGTTTGAAGCCACCCTCCCTTGTCCTGTCACTACATGCTCTTGTAAAAAGTCCCTCTCCAGCTCTCTTCCAGGCCCCCTTCAGGTGCTTCTCTTCTCCAGCTTCTCTTCTCCAGTTCTCTCAGCCTTTCCTCATAGGAGAGGTGCTTCAGCCCTTGGATCACCTTTGTGGCCCTGCTCTGCACCTGTTCTAACAGGTCTAAGTTTTTCTCAGGGTGAGGACCCCGGACCTGGACACCGGTGTTGGAAAAGTACTGAGTAGAATATGAATGTAGCTCTGCAACCTTTAGTCTCCTATATGATAAGATTTAATAAAACTATCACTTTTATGCAGCCACTTTTCACAAGTGTCATGATTGCAAATCACTGTAGAAAAGAGATTTAGGATCATTATGTGAATTGTAGGGGTGAGGATAAATGTGGAGCTACTAAATTCAGTCTAGAGGACCATGCCTTTTGCTAATCTGAGGTCAGCCGCCTGACACACTGTTAGGAATTGCAGCAAATGATTGTACCAAATTACCACTTAAGGTAGCTGCTCAGTGGATGAGGTGCTAACAGGATAAATTTCTACAAAGATAATCTATAGATTTTATTATTATGAAACCACGGGAGATGTTGCAACGCAGATTTTAATTTTCATTATTTCAGCTAATGAAATTTCAATTAGAGTAAACACCGTATCATAGCTACTAAAGCTGAAACATGTAGATGTTATCTCCTGAACTGATACACAGATCTCTAGGGAAAAGTCAAGGGATGTATGCATGTGGTTTTTTTCATTGTGTCATTTTGTAGAGTTTCTTTGTCCTTGTGTTAATGAACCTTTTTTCTGCCCCTCTAAAAAAGGTGGGGGGTGGGGGGTGGAATTGATATTATAATTCATATTATAAGTGAGCTTTTGGTAAGAAATTAGTTGATCTTATTTTCTAGGAAAAAAAGGATATATTTTTATTATGAGAAAGGCAATCCCACCCACTTAGTTGCAGTGGCTAAGTTAAGAGTCTATGTGGTCAAGCTACTTTTTAGGAAGAGAAGAGCAAAAGAGGCACCTGTAGAAGGCAAATTGACTCCAGAAGTCTGCAACATTCTTTGAAGTTGCTGCCTTTTGCTTCACTGTAGCAGACGTGTACAGCAAATGCACTGCTAAATTAATTGTTTTGTACAATACAGGATTTATATGAACCCAGAAAATATTATTAGCTGGTGTCTTCCCTCCCCTCCATAGCATATTTGGAAAATTAACTGTTGTTTCATCACAACCCACAGCAACAAAGGAATGGAGCACCTGTACAATATGAAGTGTAAGAACGTAGTTCCACTCTACGATCTCTTGCTGGAGATGCTGGACGCTCACCGACTGCACGCCCCAGCAGCCAGGAGTGCTGCACCCATGGAAGAGGAAAACCGAAGCCAGCTGACAACCGCATCAGCTTCATCTCATTCCTTGCAGTCGTTTTATGTAAACAGCAAAGAAGAGGAGAATGTGCAGAATACAATATAAACAGAAGTCAGCATATACAGTGGTATGAGAAACCCAGCAGTGTTCTACCTAGCTCATGCTTCATTTCGCCTTTGAAAACACTCCAGTGACAACAGACACCAGCATTTTCCATATGAGTGTTTGTCAAGTGCTTGCCTAAATTGATTGCTTATCCTAAATGGAAGACATTTCATTGCCATGGATAGCCAGCAAGGATTGTCTGGCTAACCTGATTAAAAATTTGCAGTGTTTTTATTTAATTTTGCATGTTATTTGGGTAACTAAGTCCTAATCTAAACCATTCATTCATTTTACCATAAATCAATAGGCCATACCACCCATGCATATTGGTATCTTCATGAGTAGTAGTCTTTGTTAATACCCACCCAAAATCCTGAGCTCGCTTAATCCTTTACTTGCTTGAAACTTCGAAGCAGTTTGGTAGAGATTCTGGATGACTTCTTTGGCAGTGGAAACAGAAAGTTGGCTGGCATCTTAGTGTGCCATAGGGAAGCTGCACTGCGAGGGACTGCCGTGGTAGTTTAGTTAGATTCCTGCCACTTTTCTTCCTACGGTGTAAAGGAACTGAGGATTATTTTACCTCGCTGGCTTACATCACCAGACAACTCTCTCTCAAGCTCATTCTGACCAAACTTTTAGGTACCCTTACCATATCCTCTAGATGAATTGCTTTGCATGCATGCTGTCTTGTCTGATCCTAGAAAGCTAAATTGTTTTGTTGCCCAAGACTGTAAATCCACGGCAACATGGAAAACAGAGATTACATAGAGAATTACTCTTGAATCAGACCAGATGATTACAAAAATCATCAGGTCTTAAAAAAAGGTCTACACACACATACAGGATCCAGCACTATTTACAAGAAGTCCCTCCCCCTATCCTGTGCTTTGTTGCTTTGTGCTGTCACAAAGCAAGGGGTGAGGATGCCAGTGTGAGACTGGCACAGAAGGGTAGGATGGTCCCATCCCACTCAGCAGAGTGTGGTCTAGCTGCGTGTGGGAGAGCTAGTATCACAGTCAGAGCAGCAGGTTTTTCTTGCCATGGCTTTCTTTGGCTCTTGTTGTGGCATGTTTCAGTATCAATTGATACTACTAATTTCAATAAGAGCCAGCTCACCTGTGACACCAAAACTGGGCAGTGAGCCTCAGACATGGTGTAGACTCTGGGACTGCATGTCCAGAAAGATAAATCTTTCTCCATGCATGTCTGTAGCTCCTAAGGATATTCATAAAGATCACCTTGATGCTTCAGACCAATTGTAAATATACAAAAGGTTCACTGACATCAAGAGTTTCAACAAGAAGTGAAAGAGACTGAAGAACTCCACATGATACACTATCCAAAGTAGCAGTTGGTGCTGCTGTTTGACTGCCTCTATGCTAGAAAATTAAATGTCAGGGAACTTTGCTGGGTACTGGAAAGAGATTATTACATATGCCAGGGATATTTTACTGATCTAATGATAAACTTTGCCTGTGCTATCTGCACGTCTGGTTGACAGGTGCAGACTGGGAGTTAGCATGGACCAGGGACTATTCCAATAGCTACTTGGAAGCAACCACCCTGCCAGTGAGGGTATTTCCTAGCACGTGTGTAGGCTGCTCCACAGCAGCTGGCCACAGTGCTAGTGAAATGGTTTAGGGATGTTTTTACTATAGTTGAAACCTTTATGTTGATTGGAATATCCTGTAGAAATTAAATATAGGAAAGAGCGCAAGTAATGCCACACAGGAGTGCCTATGTCTAATTATGCTCCCTGTCACACAGGCAGAGCCTGTGTGCAGTGAGATTAAGTTTTCACAGCAGTTGTGAAGGCAGCAAGGCATAGGACAGGTTTGTGCTTCAAGTCAAGAATTCAATTCTTTACATATGGTGGAATGTACATAATGGTGTCTATAATAGTTTCATATCTGTACATATCTGAGGATATGAGCAGTTTGAAAGCCTAAAGCTACATGCTACCAATGTTTGAGAAGATTCCTCGAAAACTGTGCAAGCCTAAACATGTGAAGCAGTCACCGTAAGTTCATAGGCCTTTTCTTGATGCATATTATGGTGTCATTTTTTTCTGAATGTGCTGAAGATTTTGTCTTTTTGTGTGTTCAGTAAAAGCATGTGTGTGTATGTGTGTGTCTGTGTGTGTGCATGAGCACTAATTTGGTACCTAAGGGCTTTTTGAGGGCTCCTAAATGTCATGAAAGAAAATGGACATTTTAGGATTTTTAGAAGCTCGTTTTCAGATGTGTTAGAAAAACCATGAGTTTACTGAAACGAGTGCAGGCTAAGATCTGAATGGAGCACAGGAATCCCTGCAGTTAATTCACATGTTTACATCATTGTCATCATTCACCTGTAGCCCAGTGTGCACTAGAGCTGCTCTTTAAATATTCTACATGCAACTTGGTGTTCTCTAGGATAGAACACACAGATCAAGCTCATAAGCTGGAAGGCAAATTGGTTTAAACGAATGCCTCCCTTCCTACATCCCAGAATAGATCATTACATCCATTCAAGTGTAGATTTGACCTGGAGGATAAAAGGTAGTTCATGGAGAACAATTCACAACAGAGGGTCGGATTTGGATGGTACCTATATAGGGCAAGAACCTTTACACAAGAGATTTTCCCAGTGAAGATGGAAAAGTACCATTTGAAGTAGTATGCAGCAGTCAGAAGGGTATCATAATGTGTCTTGGGATATACAAAATGATATCAGCTCACAATAATTATGAATGTTTTCCTGGGCTCAGCCCTTGCAAGGAAGCAATTTGGCTTTCAACCAGTCCTCCCATGTTTGTGGTAACAACAGTGAAGGGCAAGCTAGAAAGAACCAGAGTGATTCCCAGTAGTATATTAATTTACCTCGGGGCAGATTTAGGATCCATGTCATTAACTTTTTAATGAGATTTTAACTGAAGCAGCACCTTAATGAATATAATAACATTCCCAGAGTTACCTATAAAGATGCCCCCCATATCAGACAGCTGAATGTAGCTATTCAAATGATTAAATCAAGTCTATGATACAAAAATGGTAACTTTTTTCATATGTAATTCTGAATGATGCTCTCATGTATGCAAACAATTGTGCCTGAAATTTGGTAATTGTTATTTCACAATATATATTTTATGTGTGTATATATATATATATACATATATACTTTATATTTGCAGCTGACAAACCAGTACTACCTGAATACCTGGTGCTGGATATTACATAAAAATATATAGCATGTAAAAAGAAATTGAAAGAAAACTTTTCAAGGCAGCTAATTATGCTTTTACCAAAACATTCATAATGATGTCTCTGGACAGCTAACAAAATAATTATTTTGTAACGTTTATATATGGATTTTTTTAAAAAAACAAAAACATCAAAAAACAAAAAACCCTCTAGAAACATAGGCAATGTAATACCAGCACAAGGCAAACATAAATAGACCAGATGAATTTGCTTTGCTTGAGAACACGGTTGTTAGTGAAGTATTGCAAAAAGCTTGGGAAGTAGAAGAGGACATAGGGAGATGTGTAGCACTTAGTGGTGTCAGAATATGTGGTGTTTGAATATGTGAAAGCTACTCTGGTTTATAGTGGTTTGAGCCACATCTCAATGTTGCAGACTTTGTCTCAGGTAAAACTCCCAGTTGGGGTAGTAAGATTTGTACTCGGGTAAAATAATTTAACGCAAGTTTCTTGGTGTGCGTTGTGATAAATTTACTATTACGCTTTAGTGACATCACTTGATGATTTTTCTCCTCTACATTGAGGGGTTTAAAAATGTTATTAATTAAATAATCTGAACTGAGCTCCCAAGGATATTGAAAGGACTGTCAGCAGATCACTGGACCTTGAATTGAAAAAAAGCAAACAAAAAAACCCCAAACCATCCCCTTCATACGAGCCAGGATTTGTACTGGAGCCTCCATCAATTTCAGTTTGATGCCAACTGATTCTTTAAGAGCTGTGCTAAATGTTTAAAAACAAGCAAATTACCAACAAAGTAAAAATTCTGCCTCAGTAGGTCTTTAGTCTTATTACAGGCTTAGGTAAGAACATGGCAAGCCCCTCTTGTGTATATAATTTCCTGCTTTAAAATTGGAGTGCAACTCAAGCTGCAGATAATGGGATTTTGTATATAAGGCATTCTCAGCTGAACTTGTGTGAAGTGCATTTCTTACTTTGAATAATGAGATTAATGTTTTCTATGCTATCTACAACCATGATATGGCTTTACAGATAGAAAGTCAACACATGTCATAGAAGGGTGTTGTTAACAATTGTATCATAATACAAACCAATCTTTGCTCTCACCTGCAAGTGTAGCATAATCTCAAATTGATCTGAGAGTTTGAAATTAATGTTTTCCCAATATTAATGTCCTACCCTTTCTACTCACAGTTCCCTTTCATTCTTCAAATGTGGATGGCCTTATATCCTGAAAGTTGTTTTCAAAGTGATGCCCATAAAGGGTATTTGGTTTTGCACTGTATTAAAAAAATATAACATTCTTCTGCATTCAAATGTGCCTAAAGAAATAAAAAAAAAATTAAAAAAAAATTATATGCTGCCATCTTGCAAATTAGTAAATTCTGTAATCCTGTGTGCCTATGATTAGAAGTCTGTTTCTTCAGAAAGTGCCCATTGAAAAAGGAAGGGATATACTGCTGGTCACAAGACTTGCATTATCAAGCCACTTTATGTATTACCTTATTGTATGTACTATGAAACCAATGCTTTTGTGTGCACTATGTAGTCTGTCAATGTAAAGTCCTTTCTTTGGTATAGGCTCAGCTGTTATAATGTATTTGTTGAAGTATTCTGTTCTTTCACTGATGCATATGAAATTGATGTCTTTGGTTTTGGTGAGGTATATTTTTCTTTGTTTTGCACCTAAAAAAAGTTCTAAAAAAGTCTAAATAAAAAAATCTGGTAGGCTACCTGATTGGTGCAAGATTTTTATCAGTGTATTTGATGTTGAAAATAAAGAATTAATCAGAACGCATTGTTTAACTTTGTTATATTTTGCATGTTTTTAAAAGATGCTTCTCTGCTTATTGTTTTTCAGTGGACAGCAAAAATCAGGATGTGTCTTTTTCTGTGCATCTAAATGAAAGTGGAAACCATTTCTTAGTTTCTTTACTTTCCCTGAAAAGGATCAGAGACTCCATATCTAGAGTCAACAACAAGCTAGGTATAGTCTCTAGTAATCCAAATGACACCAGGGAAGTTAGCTAAGTACCCAGTACTTGATGTACTTTAATGTCCTTAGTATTTTGCTTCACATTCCTTATTTTGGCTTGTGAAATACATTATGGCAGAAGAGACAGATTGCGTGAATTTAGCCCTCTACAGTTGGCTGCCACTCACCATGGGCTAGCTTATATGAAGGAAGATAGTACTCCTTTTCTGAGTGAAACTAGTCCTCAGGAAAAAAAAATTGTCTTGACTAAGCCATCAGGAAGGGATGAAAAGAAATGAATGAAACTTTTATTAATGTAGGACCACTTTGAACTCAATTCTGTTCTCTAAAATAATCTCAAAATCATATTTGGTGTTTGCAAAGAATCAAACCAGTAATTTGTAGCATTTGCATACATACTAATGTATTTCAGTACTTGTAGTATGTATATTTATCAGTAACATGAAGAGAATATGGTCTCTATATTGATTATTTTTTAATCTATTTTCTGTGCCATGCTGGTTCAACATAAGACTATTGGTTCATAGGTTCTTCTCTTATAAGAATATATAAGGAAAATGTGTTTGTTTTATGGGATGTTTCATTGTACTTAAAAGGAAAAAATTGTAAGATGCTTACCTCAATTTTAAGTATTATCTCAGTGATGAAGACAAGATAGGCAATATGCTTCGTTCATGTGAAACCTCACCTTATAGCTTGTCAAGTATGAAAGAAAAATAACCTATAAAGACTCTAAAAGAATGTTAGGAACTGTTGGGATTTTTAAGTACTGAGTAGAACTGAACAATGGTTCCAAATCATGTAATTATTTTGCAATACACTACCAAAGCAAAGAATTTGACCACAAGTTGCTTCTTTGGCCACAAAGGGTGGGTCAGAGCAATAGGAACTAATTACAAATGTATATGTGCTCAAAATAATAGAGCAATTTTCAATGCTGATTCAAAACATGACACCATTTCATGGCTTTTTAACCACAGGAACAAATGAGCACTTACAGTTCATGGAGAAATGGTTTAAGAAGACAGTTGCTCCATAATACTGAACTTAGAGACTTAAACTCAAAAGAACAGTTAGATAGGAGAATACTCCTGCAAAATCAAGAATATGGCACTCCTAAATGAAAAACTGCACAGATAAAGTCTGAACATACTTACCTCTGCAAAAATTGTAACAATTTGAATGAGCAAAGGATTGCACACGGCCTGGGATTGCATACTACCTGAGATTAGGCATTCTTCTGTCCAACTCTTTCTGCAGCATGACACCATAACACAGCATCACAGTGCACAGAAACACAGCACCACAGAGCTGGGAATGTGTCACTGGAGACTGCCTAGTCCAATTCCTGGCTCAGAGCTGGATCACCTAAAGAAGATTGTTCAGGGCCACAAAAACAGATATTTCTACCTCTCTGGGTACCTCTCCCTTTTCCAGTGTTTGATGGTCTTCACGTTATAAAATCTTTTGCCTGTGTTCAGGTGGAATTTCATGTGATTTAATTTCTACCCATTGCCTTCTGTCACTGGGAACAACTGAAAAGAGTCTGTCTCCCTCATCTTCATTCCCTCCCATGATGTGTCTTTTGTGATGGGAGAAGGTGGATGAGATGTCACCTTGCTCAGACACCCAGAACCCACCAGGAAGAATGCCTCTACAGCCAGGCATTGGGCACATTTCAATGGTCAGGAGCCACCTGGGACTCCAGCTTCATTCCCAATTTCTTATTTCTGTTGGGTGAAGAAGTTTGAGAAATGATGCAGGAAGGACATGACTTTCTATTTAATTGCAGAGCTTTTGCAGCTGAAACTCCTGAGCCCATCACCCTCACTCCCCTCACACCACACATAACACCTTACGGAGCAGCTCCCCCAGGGGATGCACACAGCTGGATGCATTGGCATCCCCCACACCCCTCATTTCTCTCTTTGCTAACATGTAAGTGATGCCTGTCTTGTTCCAGCGTATTTTATTTAACTAATTAGAAAGGTATGACATAGTTATGGCATAATTGAAGAACATATTTGACAACTTTTCTTTCCTGTTAATTCAGGCAATCCTCATAATGCAATGATAACAGCTTCTTCATGGGCTAAAGCCTCAGTGTTCTCAGAGTGGGGCACCCTCCCTCATTAAAAGCCTTTTGGCCATGCTTATTCCTCAAAATTAAATGATGGACTTTTAATTTTTTTTTTCCTATCCAGAAACTGCAACATTAAAAGCCCCATGAAGCAGCTGTTTCTATGGCTGGAAATGTTTTACCTCTCCTTCCTCTGCATTACACTGCTTGTCTCCACCACCTACACAGTGAAGAGGAGAGGAAAATCTAAACATATAAACCAGCACTCATCAGAGTGCTCACATAAAAAGAATCCCCATGGAAGGGCACTGCGTACGTGTTTCTTCTTATGCCCAGCCAGGCTCCAATTATTACCATTCACCACAGCATCCTGCAGACACAGATGCTCAAGTGTAAAAATGGTCATGAAGTCTTCAGGAAAATTGACCATCAAAATAATAACATTTGGCACTTATCTCAGCAGGAACAAGGCTAACTAGCTCTCATGTCCCTTTAAGAACTTTGTGCTGCAGTATTTAGGTGTCATTCTGCTAAATGTCTTCATTTCTGCAGGCATACAGGTGATATGGAATTTATCTCCTGCTGTCTTCCATTCCTACACACTTGTGTACAACCTCAGAAAGTCAAATTTTAAACAGATGAAAAATGTGCATGTGAGGAAAGGATGCGTTTTCAGGCATTTTTTAGCCAGATTTTGCAACATTTTGGGATCAAGGTATTTAGCTTCTCTACAGATAAAGACTGAACGCTACTCTCTAAGACAAAAAAGAATCTGACAAGAAGCAAATCTATTTTTCACTCACCTCTTCAGAACTTATGTCATCTATGGAAAGATGAAAAAGTATGTTACACCCTAGAGATGAGCAAAAAGTGCAGTCCATTTTGTGGTGAGAGTCAGGGCACATAAAAGCTTGAAAGTTTAGGCATTCACGTGAAAGCTGAAAAGATTGAATTCCAGTCTGTCCTTACAGGATTAATTTTTGCTTACATTAAATCTGAAATCAAAAAAAGAAACTACAGCTCAGAAATGTCTTCTTTGTTTCTATCTAATCTATCTATCTATCTATCTATCTATCTATCTATCTATCTATCTATCCCAAAATGTTAGAGCACCATGCTTTCTTCCAGGACTTTTTGCTTGTACTTCCCTTGCCCCCTTAGTCTGCATACCTGCCTGCACCATGCTTCAAGTTAAGCAAAGGAGTAAAAATCTCAACCCTATAATTTAACCTGCAGCTCCATGGCCAGGAGAGCTTCCCATACAATTTCTGAATTGTATGTAAAGAAAACACTACAGCCATGAATGTCCCACCTCTTGGATAGCCTTGTGAGCACTTGCATAGAAAAAAGTGGACTCTGGTAGGTTTAATTCCAGCTGTTTTTAAAACATCCTTTTTAAAAACAAAGGAATGGAAAAACCCACAATTACAACATCCATAATAGCAGTCTTCCAGGAATTACAACATGCCAGAAAACAAAAAAAAAAACCAACCTGGCCTGAGTAACCTGTGTGCAAACTACATCCAAATCTGCATGATCTCTGACCAGAAGAGCTCTCTAGCTCTAGACCTCTCCCCTCTCACCAAAGACACCTTTGATACAAGAAATGGACAGTACTTTCCTAAAGCATCCTGTCTTTCCGAAAAGTGAAATGTGCCACTGTTATTCAGACATCACTGTGATCAAATCCATTTGCTGTATCTCAGATCTTTAAACAGATTCTTACTCAAACAAAGCAGTTTTGACCAATTAATTTTTGGAATGATATATTATGTGGCACCAAACAACAGATGTTACAGCTTTCATGTCCTATATTCTTTTAGAGGAATCATTTAACAAAATTCAGATTTCTGTCACTTAACCAGGTCTTAGTCTATGACAAATCTTCAGTGCTTCAGCTAGCAGTTATTCATTTCCTTTTATCTTGTTTCACAGATCTTTATCTACTTCTTTCTGGGAAGACAAATCAATTCTCTTAATAATTCCTATTTATCTATTTACTTATTTAATTAATTTATTGGGGAACATTATTAGAACATTCTAATGTTCTTAATATTGGTACCACAACACAATTTCTCACAAATACAGGTTTCAGCCTACGTCCCTCTGGGTCTAATTACGGCCAAACAGGGCAACAACAATAGAATTCAGCTGGCTACAGTGCATTTTACAACATGATGCCAAGGCTAAAACCACTCAGCCAGTACCCAGACAAATTCCCTTATGTGGGGAACTGTGTGCCTATAAATACACACAACCCAAAAGACCCCTCCCTGCATTCTCCTTTCTCCCCTCAATTTACACAAATACTGCTTTAGATGAAATCTGCGTTTGACTGCTGCCAATACCACCCTGCTTAAATCAAAACTAACTATTCTACCTTTTTCCTTTCCATTGCTTTAAACACCAAATGAAATATGGTAAGTGCCAAAAAGAGAAGATCAATGGTTTCTATTGCTTTAGAATCTACATTTTTTCCCCTTGACTTGTTCTTATGTCTCAGAATCCTCCTACAGTTGCTAAGTCTTGATAGCATCTGTAGTCTGAAGGCTGTGAACAACCAGTGTCTGTTATACCTTTGAACATACAGACACACATCCACTCAGATGCACATGATGATGATGAGCATGCTGAGAGATGCTATCAGTTGTAAACAGATCTCTCAACCACAAATAACAAGACCAAAGGCCAGGGATGACTGCTCAAAAGCAAGCACATCTTTGTTCTCGTTCAACAGCCAGATGCAGAAAAATATTCTAAAGAGGAAGAGAGCAATACTGCAGGTGTTCACAAAGCTGGAAGGGTGACAAACCAGGGGTGAGGAACTATTGATCTGTTGCAGAAAGAAGCTGTTATAGCTGCTGGAGCAGGGTGGGGAATAGGTAATGGGTATCATCATTCTCACAGCTATGAGGAGTTAAGAGGACACTACTGTCAAGTTGAGATCATTTGTACTCCTAATATTGTCTCTAAATAACACTTTGCAGCCTGCCTTCAGATTTTGCTGAGCATGACCCACAAATGAAGCTCCACAAAGAGATGCAGGGAGTCCAGGGTAAATTGTGCTCATTATTTTTCACTATTATCAATACAAGCATAATGACACAGTGTTTTGATACTACAGTCTGAAGTCACAGAGCAACCAGTTACCTTTGAACACTCACTAGCTCTGAGGTGACTACAAGCCAATAAGCAAGGTTCAGAGCTGCAATGTATGTCAAGCTGGGGGGGATGACTACACCTCTACAGAAGCTACTGCATTTACCTACAGTAGAAAACAGGAAAAAATACAACACAGTTATGACCTGAGCTCCCCAAGAGGCAGAGTCTACTTTCTCTATGCTTGAACACACGATTTCAAGACAGACCCAGTTTGGCAGCTCCTCTGCTGCCTGTCCTCATGCCTTGCAGCCAAGGCTCAAGGTGCATCACCAGAAATCAGCCCTTGTGTTTGCAGAGCCCAAATAGGTGATGTTTCAGAAAGAGAGACGTTTTTCAGAAAGAGAAGTGTTGAGTTGCAGGTTTATCACAGAGACAGGGTGTCTCAGACACTAAGTTGTGCATTTCTTAGAGAGTTTTAGCATCCCATTATCAGGATGAGAAAGATGCCCAGGCTCCCAAACTGGCTAGTGCCACTGGCTGCAATGCTTGACAGCTTTCTGAGTGTGTTTTTTTCTCCCATACAGGTACCCCATTTAACCTGGTTCATGCTGTGGTGATAAATGCCTTTGTTGATAACTCATGGGGATTTGCAACTCAAGCTAGACCTCTGAGTTACTGGCACTCCTGGGATGGAACTTGAGAAGAGCCTGCCCTCTTATTTACGTTTTGCCTTCTTTGTGTCAGCTTTTAGGATCAAGATCCAGTTCTGCAAAATTACCTGTGAAGTTATAATGGAATTGGTTCATGACTAGAATTCCTTTTGTAGGAGCATATTGCTCAAACCACTTTAAGTCTCAAAATCAGCACCAGACCAGTTAAAGTATCAAAAGCAGTAAGTCCAAAGTGGCACTCTAAAGGACCCTCTAACCTGGTGACGCAAATTGTCTGCTATTCCCTTGACACATCAGCTTACAGGCTGACATTCCTGTCCTTGAAGGAATGGGAAATTTAGGATTTACAAACAGGCATTTTTCCTGTCTGTGACATTTTTCTAATGGGCCTCTGTCACCACCTGTTACTGCCTTATTCACAGGCATTGTAGAGACTTTGCTGTTCACTTCGAGGACTGCTTTGTGTGAGCAGGTCCATTGGGCTCAAGAAAAAGTTCTCTGCATCAACTGTCAGTACATTGATAGTCAGATCAATGTCTGCAGATCAGAACTTGAAGGTATGAACACAAGAATCTTTACTTTAAAACAGCTGGATGAGGCAAAGCATAGTGGGGACACTGTCCACCAGTTGATCAGCAAAAGGCAGAGGAGAGACAGTGCATGTGTGTTGTGCAGGTAACCATCAGCCAAAAATACACTGAATTTGAAAGAGCTACTAACACTTGATGATGTGATGAGGCTGAGATCCTTATGCCTCCCTAAATGAGTCTTTTTCTTTCCAATTTTTTTTTTAAAGGAAACAAAAATACCTTTCAACAAAAAATTAACCAGCAGACTGAGAGACTGGCTGATGAAAGGATTTCTAAAGCATGCACAGACTTAGACTAATAGATCCAGCAAACTAATGAATTATCATGTAGATGCACTGATTACCACTGATTAAATTATGTTACCAAAGAGAACAATATCTGAAAAGAGAAAAGGGGTCAATTTTATGTAATATTTCAGGCCTTTTGCAAGTAACAGCTCTTCCTTGTAGCTCAAATGTGTGTTCCTTATCTTTGTCTACTGAGTGATTATGAATACTAATCTAGCCTAGCATAACTTCTGAATAGCAATGAAGGAAACTAAGCCTTGAAAAGAACACATATTTGTGTCAGTCCAGACTTGACAGTATCAGACATTGAAAATATTTTTTGAACATAAAAAATCCTTTTCGCAAAAATGTTAATGCTACACTTATCTGAAAAGGAAGCTTTATTTTTTTATATTTCTTCTAAATGCTGGACTTCAGCTTGTGGTTCCCTACCCTCTCCTCATAACAGCTGTAAACACAACATGCCAAAAAGTAATTCTACGTAACAGCAACTAATGTGCTTGTATTTTTTTTCTGGCCTTTTTATTTGTCACGCAATCCAATATATTTTAAGCAAAAACACATAACTCAAGAAAAATTCACATTGTGTGTTTCATGGCTTCAAATCTCCTAAACTTATTAAAGAGCAGTAACTTAGAGACATGCTCTGAATTTTTTTTCATAATTGAGAAGAATCATGTTCTTTCAAAGTCTAGTTCTGACTGATAAGATGGGCAGAGTACTACTGAATAGGCTGCAAGTTTTTGCAATAGTTCTGGAAAGTTAATGAGTTTTCAATTTGTTCTCTTTTTCTTCTATTTATGCTTATGTTTTGGGCCTATTCCACTAAAATAATGATGAGTAAAAACATAAATATCTATCTTGGTATTGAGCTTCTATGGAAAATAATAGGAAGTTTCCAGTATATTCACAGGAAGAAATCTGCTTCATTGTGGATTGGTACAACCCCAATTGTCAAAGGTTGCACATGAATGCATATACATAAACACAGATGGGAAAAAAAACCCACACAGGTGAGAGGGAACTTCAAGAAGCAGCTTGAAAAAAAGAAAAACCTGAAGTGATGAATCATTAATCCAAAACATGTACTGCTTTCAATATTAGCACAACCTCTAATGTGATACTTTCCCAGGTATTCTGCCAGTTGTCGTTTTCCAGATGTTGTCATTCAAAGATATACCTAATGCCATTAAATTGTTATAGAATTTTTTAATTATTTTTTGAAGTGCAGCATATGGATGTCTTCTATTTTTTTATACCATACATATCTCATTCTAAACTTAGAGATTTCCATAGTAGTCATTAAAAAGCACGTAGACAAAATATTTTATGGTATCTATAATAAATGCAAAGAAATCAATACAAACAAAACTTGGCTTAGCAAACTGTACATACATAAATATGTTCTTTGTTTTTCAACTTGACATTCAACATTTTTTTCCTCATAAAAACTTCTGCAATCTTATTTATTACATCCATTTTTTTTTTTAAACCTTAAAAAAGTGCTTCTCAGATTTACACCTTGTGCATCCAAAGCAAAAGTTAGAACACCATGCCTGAAACAGAAACCACAGGGAATAATACATTGCCATACAAGATTCTTTAAAATGGTATGTTACAAATGCTCTAAAATTCCTTAAGCATTGGTTATTTTGTATACTGTAGATACTGAGAAGGTATTTAACAAAGACTGGATAATGGGTCATTTAGAGCAGCACACAGGAAAGGATCTACAGTATCAAGTCCTTGGCTATGCATAGTACAGGGCAATGACCTGGATATAAAGTGGCTAAAAGATCCCAAAAGCTGTACAGAAGAGGTTTCCCCCACATACGTTGCACCCTCCTTAGTACCCAGGATGCAAGGAGTATTGAAATGATGCTACTCAGGTAATACTTTGTGCAGTTTGATACTGATACACTGATTCCAGCGGAGTGCCAGCAGAGAAAGAGATGGGCACAGTGGTGGCAACAGCAGACAGGTAAAGCTGCCACGCTGAACCCTGCCACCCTTTAAAACCATCTTGCTGCCTAGCCAGCACTCCAGCAAGGTCTCCCACTGTCTCAGAGGTCTCCTTCACAATGGAGGAGGACCATTCATGTATTTTAGCATGGGGTGGAAAGAGCGGGCAAAGTTGTTTGCCATAGCACAGCTGTAATCCTCCTCGGTCATTGGCACCAGGCACGCCAGCCCGATCAGGAGCAGCAGGAGGAGCTGAAGAGGCAGAGCAGCTCTGAGGACTCTGAGGAAGAAGGACGGGCACCGCCACGCTGGCCCAGCCTCAGAAGGGGAGGAACCTGAGCCACCTCTTTTGGACCTGAGAAAAGAAGATGGGCAGTTGAATACACTAAAACATTACTGCAGCAGAGGTTGCCCTTGGGCACTCAACCTCCCCTGAAGGCCGATTAACAATTTGCACAGACTCTGATTGACAACTGCAGAGGTATTTTTCAGTGAACATGCTATTTCCCTAAGACTTTTAAGAGACCCTGGATTTCTTGACTGGGTAGGAAAACACCAAATGATTATAGCAGAAGGTGCTTTGTGACCCCTCACCCCTTTTATCATTTATGAGGAAGACCATCCACTTAAAGCACTAAGCTTTAGAGAAGGGGAATATAAAAGGTGGGCCGTACCTGCCATATTTGTTCAATGCATGCTGTCTAAAGAGGTGGGCCTTCTTGTTTAAAATACCCAGTTGCATTTGATTTGCAGAAGTTTCTGCATTTGTTTATGTATAAGGTATCCATGAGAGCATAATGCACTGAGATTCACTTACATCAATTTCTGTCAATCAATACACCAATATACAGGTAATGGGGACGTGTTTTCTACAAAGCACATTGTGTTTTGAATCTTGCACAGAATCAGCAGTTAAAATCTATCTGCTCAACTGACTTGACACCATCACCTTCCAAGTGATTTTCTCCCTTATGTTGATGGATCTGACTTGAAATGGCACATACCCTATCACATGTCTATGAGGCAGGAGAGATCTAACACAAATACTTCCAAAGGGACATTTCAAAAATCCATTCTATTACTTTAAATGAAAGATAAAGACACAAATTTCACATTTTTCTTTTTCCATTCTATTACTTTAAATGAAAGATAAAGACATAAATTTCACATTTTTCTTTTTGGCTGAAACTATCAAGAGCTGAAAAGAGTGACTAGGAAAGATTGAATCTGATGGTCTCAGTGTGCTAGTTAAATGGCATGGGAAAATACTGTATTTCAGCACAAGCCAAAAATGAAAGAACTCAGAGCCTTCGAGTAACTTGCTTCAAGAACTCTGCTATTAGGACATTAGGTCATGAATTTTGTCTCAGATGTGTTGCTATAATACATTTGCATGGTTGCTATGACCATGAGGCCTCAAAAAAATCTGTTGTTTCCTAGAGTTTAAGAGATAAAAATTCTAATAAGCACATGTGGGAAATCAGGCTTATTGGCTGCAGTCAAATGCTCCCCAGTAAAGTACAGGGTGATGATTCCTTACTGTTTCTTTGACTTCCCCTTGTTCTTTTGATCCTGTCTCCCTGATAAATCTGAATCTGTATGGGGAAGCATCCAAAATGAAAATATCATCTTCAAAACAATGCCAGGCTTAGCAAGGGTTCCCCTCCCATATGTTCAGAAAATAATTATTTCTGTGATTGAGATTATTTTATTTTCTTGCTCATATATGTATAGCACCCCACTATGAGGACTTCAACAAGGCCAGGCACATTTGGTAAAGTTCAGATGACCAACAGATACATAAAAACTAAGTATATGCAGATATGCTGAATTACAAGCTTGAACTAAATATTCCAGGAAGCAGTGATGATCAAAACATCAGATCTTGTGTTGTCTGAATCCACACTATTGTAGCCCAGATGGAAAGTTGCTTATCGCATAATGTAGGATCACGTATTATAAAGAAGATATTGAAAGGACATGGCACATTAAACAGCATCAGAGCATTTCATATTAAAGCTCAATTAGATCAGGACTTCTACTGTCTGAGAATACCAAGACAGAAAGTTAATGGGCTGAGGCAGGAACAAAGGGAACAAGGAGTGCTTAATTACCTTCCAAGCATTTGATTGCACAGCCTACCTATTTACAAGGCTCTCATTGTATAAATGTTGTTAATCCAAATCTAAAAATGACCACATTTCTGCAGTTGCTAACTGGTGTTTGATATTGAGCAAATTGTGATTCTCTTCATTGTCCCAGAGCTACTCTGGAGCAACTCTGGGTGTCAGAAAAGGATGTTCCAAAAAACTGAATCAGAAGTTAATCCCGGGTTTTTCTTTTCTTTTTCCTATGCCTTTAGGAGCACAAACCAGCATCTTATTGCTTTGTGTTTTACAAAAAGAAATTGTAATGCAAGCTTGCACTGCTGATCTCAAAAGGAACATAAACTTTCAAAAATTAAAACAATTCAAAGCAAATTTTTTTTTCTGCAATGAAGTAGGTATTGAAAAATAATACTGCACGGCAACAATTAAACAAGCAAATAATGAAATGTTACAAAAACATCCTCAGAGTGGGAGTTATAAAGAGTTTGAGTGGTGTACTGGCCTGTGTTTACGGCAGGTACACCTCTGCAATCTACATAATTGGCTGAAAAATGGAATGGGTCAGCTTAGAGTGCTTAATAGATCTGGTAAGGAGAGATGGTTAAAAATATACATTGTTAATTAAAAAAAGCTCACTATTTTTAAGGACAGAACACCTGTTTAGTCTGGCAGGAGAAGGGAAAGCTGAAGTACTGTGTGCCACTTTGCAGAAAAATGTAATTTCTGTTCTTGACCTTGCTTCTTTTAGCTGTCTCTTCTGACTGCTCCACCATTTGTCACACTGTGAGGAGGGAAAGAGGTGGGAACATCTGCTACTCACTCCAGTACACAATTCCTACTTAGCAGATGAAAGAGAGAAGCACAGCTGCAGTCCTGGTCAACAGTAAGCTTCCTCATGTCAAGAAATTTTATATATTAATCCAAGTGCAAGCAATAGTTACCCTTACTTTGAGAGTTTTCAATGTCAGTGATACTGGAACTCTAAGCATTTCAGGAGAGGAGAAGCTAATTTACCAGGCTATAGATAGGATGGTCAAAGTGAACTTTAATTTCAGCTCAGAGGGGAATCTTTTTGTAAAGATGATTGCTATTTTTTTCCCCAAGGAAAATATGGTTGATGTAACCAATCTGTATTGCAGCAAGCATCTGAAAGCTTTCAAAAAGGAATTTATCATTCAAGTGAAGCTGATAGAAATAAATAAAGTGAATTTAATGCTAAGTGACTAATGGAATGTGGAAAACAGGCTTACATTGAAAGAGGCACTGCTGGCCTAGTAGGATGTTATGTACTGCAGTTAATCAAGAATGGGCCTTAACTTAATAACTTTATTAAAAGACTATTGCACAAAATATAAGAATAGTAAATTTCATCTGTATGATGATAGATGCTGAAGGTCTTTGCAAATACCAGACATGATTGGCTTCTTGCACAGAAAAAAAGTGGGTGAATTGAAAAAGTTTAAGAAACAGCAGTTGTATATGATATTTAAGTATCAAGCACTAAGCGAGAGTGAGGGAAATAACTGGGAAAAGAATCATGGCAAGCCAAACCCAAACCTTGTGTTTGAGCCACTGTGTAGCCATGAATATCCTTTTGTGGGCAAAGGCACAAAGAGTGATGTGGTTTGGTCTGCTCCAGGAACAGCAAGTGACCTTTAAAGATCCACTAGTCATTTGGGGAGGCTTGGAGAGAGCAGGAAATGGAGGTTGGCACTATGGCACCAAGACTTGAATAGAGCTGGTCAAGAGAGACAATGTAAACACCCCTGAGCAAACTGAACCACTATTTTAATCTTTTAACATTTTAATCACTTCAAAAAAATTCACAGGCAAAGATCCAGGTGTGCACCTATAACAGCTCTGTTAAACTGATGAAGAAAGAGGAACTGCTTCTTGGATTTGCTTTCCCACCTAGCACATGATTACTAGTATGGCTTGGATGAGACTCCAGTTAAACCCACAATGTAATGTTCAGTTTAACCCTGCACCTTGCTTAGCATCACACTATATATGCCTGTCTTTTTGTGGTGATCATGGAGAAGGCAAAGTGATATGACACGTTTCATACACAAAGCATGGCCCCTCTAATTTTTTAGATGAACTTTCCTTCACAATTTCTTGTGTGATAAACCTTTTTTATTTCTCCTTTATATTAAACTCCAACAGGGTTTGCTGATCCAGTGCAAGATCAAACACAAAGTACTCTGATCAGAGGCATGTCAAAATATTAAAGAACACAGTGACAGCTTGTACCGCATTATCAGTTAAATCCACATTATACATCAACCACAACCTGTCTGGCTTGTGCATTTGATTAAGTTTCCTATTCAGCAGTGACTCATTCGTATTCCATGCTTGTCTGAATGACAAATTGAACATTGTGTTGTGCTGCTACAAGATGTGTTAATAAACAGTGCTGGAAAACCTTGATCTGAAAGGTGCCGCGGCAATGGCACTACTAGAAACAGGGGTTGATCTCAAAGCTACAAAGCACTGCTAGCTGCTCTTAGAGCCAGGGGCTCACCCCTACAACCAGAAACCTCAGAAGGCTGGCAGAAGTGGTTTGACTACACAGGAGAGTGGAAAAGCGCACACAATGTGTTCCTTCAGTGCAATGGTGCTAGTGCAAAAGCATGCTGATCTGTCAAAGACATCCTCCCCTCCTCTTCACTGTTAGTGGCTGCTGAGTGAAGCCCCTCTCCTCCCTTTTCTTCCTCCCTACGAGAAACAAAACGCCAAGCTTCATAGCAGGCTGGAGCTGAATAATTAGCTCTCTTTCTCCATCAGGCAAAAAGAGGGAGTTTACATATATGCCCTATTTCCTATGTGGTTTCCTTTTCTTTCAAAGGAAAAAAATCCTTAAAAACAGGCAGCTTCTTAGAGCGTGTAGAATCAATAAAAGATACTTGTTCCATTTGTTGCATGTTTTTATAACTATGCCATTTTACTCACAGTCCCTAACTACACATGTAAAACAAACTTTTTAAAAGTAGTGTTTATGTAATTATCTACATGGTAAGTAGTTTTGCTTCTTACTTCATTTATAATGAGAATAAAGTCTTGATTTCACTCATGAAGAAACATAATTCTCTTAAGGTTTTTTTTTTGTCTGCTTGTTTGTGGCTCAATCACTGTATTAAATCTAGTGTTTGCTTCTTTCTTTGACTCTAACAGGAGTTATTTAAAAAAAAAATTACTTAATTTTGTGTTTTCTTCTTTCCAACAAAAAATATTTGACTATTTGAAAAGCTATTTTAAAAACAAATCAGTTAATTTTGGATACAGAGTGAATAAATGAGATTTAGGTTAAATGAGATTGATTTTTAGATTTAGTAAAACAAATGTACCTTAATCACACTTTCTGATTATTTGAGCAGTGTGCAAGACACTGAAATAGCAAAAGACGTCCTCTTGACACATGTTGGCTTGCTCATTCGGTTTTTTGTTTTTAAAAAACTTCGTAATTGTAGAGGCTAGTAAACCGATTAGTGAAAGAGCGAAGGTACACAGATCACAGTGACAACAACAAGAATGCAGAAGCACTGTTAGCTGCAGAGATGACAGGTTGCTGGAGACACCGTGGAAAGCAAGAAGCTGTAGCTGCAAGCCTGCTCTCTACCGGTCAGACAGAGATGGGGAGGTGCTGCTCCCGGAGCAATGCAGGGATGCGAGCACAGGGAGAGCCATGGCAGTGTTAGCATGTTATATTGCAGTCGTCTGAGGAGGGGAGAGAAAGTGATCCCGAGTCTCAGTACTCTCAAATTCTGATTTTTAGTTTTGAGTCTAACGTATTGAAAACCCACAAACTGAACAAAACGTTTTGGGGGGAAGAAAAAAAAAAAAAGGAAGAAAAAATAAACTAAATAAATTAAGAAAAGGGTGTTAGTATGTCTCATCCAGATCTGTGGGTTTTGTGAATTCTAGAATATGATATTGGCCTATTACCTGACTTAATTTAATATCTAGAGGTAAAGAGGATGATAGAAAGTGTTTGCCATGGAATTACAAGCATTCCTCTTAAATCACACCAAAATAAAATTATCATTAAATATCATGAGTGTAAATGCACACTCACCCTGATCAGGCATATGAAAAATAAATGTTGATTACATGGGACTTCATGGAGAAGCAAAAGCTGCAGATGTCCAAGGATTAGCCTGTATCTCTGTTTACACCAAGAATTGAAGCAATTGAAAGTCCCTTTTGCCAAATGATTAACAAAAGGGAAGTTTGGGTTGCATAAGTCCTGACCACCTGATGGAGTCAGTGGGACCGAGAGGAATCACGGCCAATTTCTATCATCCTCTTGGTGTTCTAGAACAGAGTGCGGAAACCAGGAGAACAAGGTACCTGCTATGTGGACTGCTGACAGAGGGTCCAGGCTGTGAGAGACTACATTTGCCCCGTGGCTGTTTGCAATGAACAGGGGGTAAAGAAAGAAGAATGTTCAGTCCAGGCAAATAAAGACAAGCTACTGATGAAACTAAATTAAAAGTGCAGCAAAGGAAACATAAAAAAAAAATAAAAAAAATCAAATGAAGTGACCGATACCCATGAACCAAGGAAACTGGCTTTTCTTTGCACTTAGCTGAGTATGAAAATTATTGGACCATACATAGCAAACGCAAAAATAACAGTCTAGACATTATGTTTATGAACAGTAGCTCTGGGTTTTAAAAAAAGTCTCTAGAAATTTAGTTCAAATAATTTGTAATATGAAATAGATGTTATCTCATTAGGTTGATATGGAAATGTATATAGATTTATAAATGCACATGCAGAAAAATTAATATTCTCAAGGAAAAAAGGTCCAAGACCCTCCTTTGCCAAGTTTTGCCTCTCCACCCCACGATTTTGAAGGCCAAATAACTGTAGGGGCATTCTCGCAATCACAGCTATTTGCTGGATTTTTTAATGCAGTTAGATGTTTATAATTCTGATTGTAATTCTTTTGTATGAGTATTTATTTATTTAGCATCAGCATATTTGGCACTGAAAGTCTAAACAGCATTACTTTAGTCTTCAAAATTGTGTGGGTGCAGAACCCAGAAGCTTGAAAACTAGATCCAAGGAATCATACAACTTAGTTATGAATTATGGAGAAAAAAAAAAGAAAGTAGTCACATACATGAACAGTTACAAATTAGAGACAGACAAATCCTTATTAAAATATTGAGATGAAACCTATCATAATTCTACATGCTCTCTAGACAAAGATTTATGGTAAAATACTTCTCCATTTCCTGTAATGGTCAGGCAACCTTCAGTTACATCTGTGATATCAAAGTTATTTGAAATTATTTAGGTTTAAATTTAAAAGACAAAAGCATTATCTTTGAAATAAAATGTTAAGGTTTATACTCTTTCTGTGGAAAAGCCAGTATTCCTTTACATTCTCATACTAGCATCTAAAAGGAAACTAGTGAATGTAAACAAAAATTAAAAAAGTAAATCAATTTCAAGAGCCATAAATTTATCAAGACAGAACTCAGAGGCTTTACAAAAAGTGCAAATGGAAAAACAAAACAAAACAAAACCAATCTGATTGCCTTAAGAACTAAGGAAAAAAGCAAATTAATCAACAAATAGAATTGCAGAAAAAGACAAAATAATTGCAGTTCCAATTTGGGCTCAGAGTATGGAAGTGTTAAGTACTAGGCATGTATTGCTTTATTTCTTGAATTTTGTGCCAGCGATGTAAACGGACAACTCCAGAGTTGCCACCACAGCCATAGATTAGGTCCTGCACAACTAGCTGGTTTGAATAATGTTTTGTGCCCTTCAGCTCTACTTAGCCATTCATCCAAAGTCTCAATAAGACCATCTGCAACCTGCGTCAGAAATGACAAAAAAACTTATTGAGATTCTTGATGAAGCAGCTCTGAAGAGAAGGCCAAACAGAAATGGAGGACTGATTATACCAGACAAGACCAGACTTTGGGGTGCTGCCATCACTAGAGCAAAATACAAGAGACACGACATGCCATACCATGGTAAACCAACCACACTGACAGCCCTGGTTTCAGATAGTATTTACCACTTCTGATTTCATGCAGAATGGGATAGCAGCAGGGTTGGGGAAAGCAGCTGTGTTTTGCTTTTGGTTTATGCTATTCCCTTTCCTAACAAGTGAGAAGAGGTGACTTCCAGCTGGCTAGAACTGCTGTAGATACCTATAGCTCCCACCCAAGAGGTGGAAGAAAATAAACTACATGAAATTACCGTTCTCTGTCTGCTTGGAGTGCTTCTTCCAGATACAGGACTCACTGAGCCTGATGTGTCTAATTCATCGGAAGACCATGAGGACAATTCCTAAAGTTCAGAAGGAACGGAGCTCAGAAATACAGCAACTAGCTGTACAGGTAAGCAAACTACAAAAATTACCCTGAGTGAAATTCCAGCAGTTACTTCCAAGGCAAATAAAAAAAAGCAGCTAAATTTTGTTACCAAATTTTAAAAGATTAAGGCTTTACATGTTTTCTCTGTCAACCCTAAAGGAAAAGAAAAGCAAACAGCAGTTAAAACTTCCTTTGTTTAGGTGACACATCTTCCACCAAAGTCAATACAGGGGGTAAAACCAGTTGCTCTTTACTGGCTGTGAATTAAAAGAAGAGTTTGGTACTACCATGATTTTAATTAAACAGGTAGAAACCCTCAAGAAGGAGGGAAGATCTGAGTTCTTGTGCTTTAAGCACTCTGCTAATCCAAGTCCCACAACTGAGATACCTGAGATAACTTGAAAAGATTTGGACTACAGCTCAAAGCCTAAGAGGCACATATAAGAGACTCCTTACCTTATTACAAAATTTATTTTATGGGTTTTTTTTTCTCTTTTTGACAGAGTGTTTATTA